GTTTTTTTGGCGGCTGTCCAGGTATCGTTGAAGTGTCTTGTCGAATGTGGTATTACTATATCCATTATTGATGAATGTAAAAAGACAACAGATCTACAGCAAGTTAACGTCATTTACGAGTACAAGTGTAATAAAGGAGACTGCGAGCTCCTGGCAAACGCCTCATACATCGGTTATCACAGTTGTATCCAGAGCTTTAAATAACAATATATTTTCATCAAAGTCCACACAGGTAGGTTCAATTACTTTAGAACACAGTTGCCAAGACAAATCATTCTTCTCTACTCTGTTATTACAATACAATCTGCAATAATTTCACTTTAAAAGTCATCAATATGCACTCTTTATGGCTAATTTCAGTCTAGATCTTTCTATCTATCTAACTCAAACTACATTTTGTATGTGTATTTATAGCCTGACCAAAACCTAGAATGTTCTACCCACTACAAGATATTATGAAGCAATAATACTCAATCTAAAGAATGAGAAAACTTAGAAGCTTCTAGTAGTATGATGCAGGCACCAATTCACAACAACTGAACTACACAACACATGATTCATACACAGTAATAAACTGTCACTTCTAAAAATAACTAAATTTAATGCTCACGATATACTTAAACCATCTAAATCATAACACATTAACTTAAACAGTCGTGTAAATATCTACTAATAAGCCCCTTTTCAAAAAAAATATTTACAATATTTTTTTATACTATAAACGAACACTATTCAGCTCATGCACAAAGTCTACTCATAAAGTTTGCACCAATATTTGCAGTCCCCTTGGTGGCTTCAATGGCTTGATGGTTCTGCAGGTACAACACCTACTTCATGATCCTCGCACTGTTGATTTTGCACCTTGGATCTATGCAAGGGGCTGATGGTCTGTTTGGAATAAATGGTTTGTTGAAGTCTGGCATTCTAAGGATTGGTGAACTTCCTAACATGTTCTTCAACTTCTAGAATGCCATTTGCTGTGGTTGTTCCCACTTCACCTTGTTGTATATCTCATCTCCACACAGTCACGATCTTCTGGTTCTGCATCTATGACAGCCACATCTACAACATCCATCTGTGCCTCAATAGCTGCATCCATTAGGTCTTCTTCCCCCTTGAAGTATATCTTCAACAGAGTAGTGTGATAAATCCATGTATTCCTGTCCAGTTTCACCCTATAGTCCATTCTGTTGAACACTTCCTGCACTTAAAAAGGTCCTTTCCATTGTAGGGCGAGTTTTTTGTTGCCTGTTGAAGCGTTGATCTCAAGTCAATTTCTGAGGTCTAACACATACTGCTATGTGGTCCTCACTTCTGAATCTTATTCTCCTGTCCACAGTTCTTTCAATATTTGCATCAGACCTTGTATTGTTCTTCTGTAGAGTAACTTGAAGGGTGAAAACCCAGTACTCGCTTGTGGGACTTCTCGATAAGCAAATAATTCAGTCTGCAGGTACCTGTCCCAGTCATGAGGTCTATCTTGGCACATCTTCTTCAGCATGTCTTTAA